TTGGATTGTTCAGAGAGGGGGTTATAAAACGTGCATCTCGGATGGTTTGTTTTGTGGAGCAGGTGAGTGGTTGTGCAGGTGAACGTTCATGACCGAGGTGCACCCAACCCAAGCCATGCGATTTCTCATCATCTCCTGTGCCCAGGAAGGCTGGGCAGTGACCAGGCGAGGACTGAAGAAGCATTGGTTCATTTACATCGTGGCAGTGGCGAAGAAGTTCGAATGGATCACGCGCTGCCAGAAGAAAGCATACCTCAGTTTTGGAGAAAGTGCACCTGCAGCTAAAGTGCTTCTGAGAAGCAAGGATGGCGAGACTTCATTTTGCTTACTTTGGACGTGACCTCAGGGGGGACATCAGTTGCTGACATTAGGCGGGATCAATAGCGAGTCAGTGAGAAAGAGGGAGACCCTCAGTGAGATTGATTGGCCACTCAGACGCTACAGTGGGCTTGGCCATGGCAATGCTCTGAGGAAGATGCAGGGCTGGGCAGCAGCTTGTTTGTTGCACATCGATAGTGCCACTGGGTTAGCGCCAGCTCATTGGTACCTAACCAGCAATAAATGGAAGGAGAGCTGGGTGGTTGGAGTGGTAGATAGTGAATCTGCATGATGTAAACGGACTGTGGACAACTGAGCTTCTTTAAACATTTTCTTTCTTTTTTAAATGTTGGCTTCAACAAATAAATGAACTCTCACCGTTTTAGAAGCTAGAAATCTCGATTCAGAGTACTAGTTCTAAGAAGGCTTATCTCATGTGTGGTCTCGGGGAAAGATTCTTCTTTCAGGACCTGGAATTCCCTGGAGATCTCCCTGTCTTAGCACGAATCGTCCCCAGGAGCTGGGAGCTTTCCAGTGCAGGGACCCAAAGGGCACAACCCAATCTTGGATCTATGTTCTTGGTGGTAGCAGTTCACTTTCCACTTAGTTTCTTTTTATCATAGTACTTTCGTGTGAGGAAGAGAAAAATTAATGTTAAAAAAGTCACCACCTTAGAAGATCATACAGTGTGTGATACATAACACCACACCACACTAGTTACTGTGGGAACGGTACTATGTTTGATTCCTCTTATACGTACAGTTAAATAAGTGCTAGCCATAGAGGATCGCTACTATACAGTTTCTTGAAGAGGATGTGTGACCTTGTGTTTGTAACATCGTAAATGTGATGCACTTCTCCCTGGAGGCTCAGCAAAGATCAAAGGCAGATGTTGATAAGCGTGAGTCATCCTTTTATCTCTGTAGTGAGCCCCTGAACACTTCAAGCAGGAGGCGGAGAGGAAGTCTTAGGACAGGAGAACAGACAAGCAAGGTTACCTACGATGGCAGAAAGAATGCCAAGCTGTGATTTAATGAGGTTTTGAATGAACAGTAAGCTGGAAGTTAGCATGCCACTTTACTGAAAATGGTCCTGGTAACGTTGTCTTACATTCTTGGACATGTTGTCAGAAAAGACCAGTCCCTGAAGAAGGACACCATGCTTGGCAAGGCAAAGGGGCAGTGACGATGAGGAAGTCCCTCAATGAGATGGATTGACACCATGGTTACAACACTGGGCTCAAGCACAGGAAGAATTGTGAATGTTTTGTTCAGTTGTGCCTGGAGTCACTATGGGTCAGAGCCAACTCAGTGGAACTTTACAGCAGCAGCAGCAGCAAAACCTTTTAAGTAGTAATTTCTTTTAAAAATAAAAATGGTATTCAGTGTCCTCTTGCTTTTTGATGACGGTTTAAGGAATACAACTGTATTATAGAAAATGTGTAATCCCTGCAAAGGAGAACAAACAGCCAACACCTGGAATTGGAGTGCGCAGATTGCGTTTGCATTTCAACTGTGCTCTTTCACCTATCCACACCTCCCATGCGCTTCCTCCTTCTTTTAATCAACAGCTGAAAGGGAACTGCATTGCTCTATGACCTGCTGGGTGTTGCACCGGAACTGAGCTGGAGCTTAACCTAGCATGAGGGATTTAGACAGGGCCCTCTGCTCCCATCAAGAGTTACAGTCTCAGAAATCCACAGGAAAGTTTGACCCTGCCCTACAGGGCTGCTATGAGGCGGCATCGACTCCATGACCGTGAGTTTGGAGTGTGGAGTAGTAAGAGGAACATACTTTATCAATGAGTTATTGAGGGAGGGCAAAACATTTTCTTCTCTGGCAATCTTTAAATATAATAGGATAAATTTTCATCTTTCTGATGGCAAGGCTGTGACCCCTCTTTACTGCCCTGTTATTCTCTGATGTTTGGACAAACCTAGAGAGAGCTTTTTTTGAGCACTTACATCTCCCTCAAGTGGCAGAAAGATATATTTGTTAGAATGTGATGTAAGAGAGACATTTATTAATCCCTTACCTACATTTGCCGTGAGCACCAGAGAGTGCATCTCTCTCCAGAGTGTGAGACTGTTCACTGTTCATTTCTAAATACTAAAATCACTGTGAAATTCTACTCTTACTGATCTGGAATGGAGGCGGGAAGATTAGTGTCACTTGGATCTAGTTTTACATGAGCAAGTCATAAAAAATAGGCTCAAATCTGAGAGGGAGGAGTTTCTTTGTCTAGACTGAAGGCATTTACAGCTAGTATAACCGCGCACACGCATGTGTAAGGGGAAAAGTGAGGGAGGGAGAGGGAAAGGGGAGGAGAAGAGGAAGAGAAGGAAAGAGGCAGGGGAGAGAGATGAATTCTGAAGCCTTCTTGTATTGTGTGCTTGATCTCCATACACAGAGGTTCCTGCCATTAATGGGAAGAGTTAAGGAACAGCTTCTGTTAACCATTTGGGCCAAAGTAATAACTTGTTGGAGCCAGGATTTTCTCCAAATATCCATCTTGGTGCATGTGTTTGTGGGGAATGCATGTACATGTACATGCACATATGCACACATGAGGAGATGGGGTACCCATACTCTTTCAAATAGAGAACAAATAGTAGGGAAAGGTTTTCTTTGTTGAATGTTTTGAACCGCAAAAGATATTTATTTTTAATGATTTAGTTCACTTTCATTAGTTCAACAAATGCTTGTTGAATTCATAGCATGTAGACATTATGTTGAAAATGGAGGGTAAGGAGCTGTCTAAAGGTTGAAGGATTGGCCAAAGCCTTGGCGTCCTGGTGGATATGAGCAGTTAACGTTACATGGCACATGGTGATCTCAGAGCACTTGGCTGCAGGATAGAGTCTAAACTCTTCAGCTTGGGAAGACTTTTGCGCTTGTTTTCCATTTAACCGATCAGCATCATCTAACATCTCTTGCCCATCTTATATTTTCGTCATTCTGGTGGGAAACCCTTATGAACCCCCTAACAAGGAACCAAACCCCAAAACCAAACTCACTGTTATTGAGGAGATTCTGACTCAGAGAGAGCCCATAGGACAAGGTAGAACTGCCCTTGTGTGTCTGAGAATGTAACTCCTGATAGGAATAGTAAACCTTGTCTGTCTTCCGTGGAGCAGCTGGTACCTCGAACTGCTGACCTTGTGGATTGAAGCCCACTACGCAATCACTGCACCACCAGGGCTCCTTTTTATCACGAGAAGACATTTTTTCCCAAATAATGTGCACCTCATCAAACAGGCCTCGGTTCTTCATGCCTCCTTACCGGGCTCTTGTGTCAGCTGGTGGGACACAGACTCTTGCCTTCTTTGCAGATGTGATCATCTCCCATGTGCCTGCCTGTTCCGCTAGTCAATTAGCCATTGGAGGATGAAGACCACCTTCTTCACTGTGGTCTACCAGCCCCCAGTACGGTGGTTCTACAACTTCCTGCCCTCTGCTTTCAGTATTCTGCCTGAATCAAGGAGCATTGGTGAATAAACTAACAAATCAGTATTAAATTTCATTTGCAATCAAAACTATTCAACCAAGACAATATTTTTCCTTACCATTTTCTGTACCGTCTCCAATATATGTATTTGTGTGTTGAATAAAAGTATGAACAAGGCAAATCTTACCTGTAATCCAATCTTCTGATTTTATGAAATAAATAAATATTTCTAGTATTGGTAGAACTTTGAAATAGGGCTGCAATACATCAGTCTAATATGTCTCACCTTCCCCCACCAATCAGGGATTTAAAAACTTCCAGACTTCTAGCTTCTATTCCCTCTCCCTGTCTGTCTGTTTTCCCCTCTCTCTTTAGTGAAAGTAGCTAACAGCTTTTACTCTGTTTTGTTTTTCTTTTTTAATTGTTGTTCACATATATACATATCTGTATGAGGGAGTTTCAAAATTTGATGGAAAAATTCCATTATCTTTCCATTTTTTGCAATATAAAAATGAAATGGAAAGATAATGGACTTAATTCAATGAACGTTTTGAGGCTCCCACATGTGTGTGAATGTGTGTTAACACGTTTGCCAATTTAACGCTTTTCATGTGTACAATTTAGGGCCATGGATTACATTTAATCATATCGTGCAGCCATCTCCACTATCCATGACCAGGTTTCCATCAAGGCGCTGGTGTCTAATGAATGCTCATTAGAGTTTAGGAACTGTTCCAAGTACTTTACGTATACTCACTCATTTACTTCTCACGATCACTGTACAAAGATCATCCTATGATTATTCCTACTTTGCATGTTAGGAAACTGAGGTACAGTCTCATTCACTTCTCCATGGCCATCCAGCTGATAATTGTCTCAGACTTACTTTCAAAAAGACAGTATTTTGCAATATGAAAAGGACACTCTTTGATTTGAATAAGACTTGGCTTATATTGTAACCCCAAACCAAACCGAAACAAAAGAACAAAGCAAGACAAAAAACAAACCCCCAAACCAAACTTATTTCCATGAACTGATTATATTATTGATGGGAAATCTTTCTTTATAGTAAAACCTTTTATTGGAGTACACATTTATTTAACTATGATGGGACATTATTTTGTGATAGTTACTTTGCTAGAAATATCTGCAGTGTATATTTAAAAATAGATTGATATCAAAGATATATTTTGTGCGTTCTTTTCCACTTATAGTATTCTTTTTTACTTTTGTAGGACAGAATTCATTCAAAGAGGCAGAATTTCAATCACTGGGGCTGGATTTCTCAACTGTATTTTAGAAACCTTTGCCAGTGCGTTTTTAAAACAGGGAGCTCAGAAGGTAAGCCTGTTTCTGTTTTGAACCAATATTGATTTTAAGGAATGATGGAAATTCCAATAGGATTGATTAAGCATCAACAGACATAATGGGGAAAAATGCAGTTAATAAACAGCTATATGCAAAAGCAGTTGACCTCACTGATTATTACACAATACAAATCAAAGTAAAACCAAAGTACCATTTAGGCCCATAAAATTAAAAAATATACTAATGAGGATTATGTGATTGATATGGCCTAATTAAGAGAAATAATCAGAGTGAGTAACTGTATTTCCGGCATATGGAATTTGATGACAAATCAAACCATAAAACTCCAAACTCACTGATAAGACGGGGAAGATTGAGAAAGGTTAATTAATTTTGTCAAGTTGACAAAAGCTAGTTATTGGCAGAGCCAGTGCTTAAGTGCAGTTTTGTCCAACTTCAGAGCCTATACTTTTAGCCTCTGTCCTATAATGTTTGTAAACATCAATAACAAGCTACATGATCTGTCTCTGGGAGAAGAACATCATGATTGGTAGAGGGTCAATGATGGAGCATGTACACTGGTATAGGTAAGAGCTCTCAGCACATGAAATCCAGGTCAGATATCTGGAACAGGAATGAGAATAGCAATACCAGGAGGGTAGAGGGAAGGTGGGAGCGGGAGGGGAGGAAGGGGGAACTGATTGCAATGATTTATGCATAGCAGTCCCCCGGGTATATGTGTGTGTGTGTGTGTGTGTGTGTGTGTGTGAACAACAGAAACCCTGGGGGAAAGGAGACAGGTCAGTGTAAGATATGAAAACAATAATAATCTATAATATCAAGGAGTCACAAGGATGGGGGGAGGCAAAAAAAGAGGAGTTGATACCAAATGCTCAAATAGAAGGTAAATGTTTAGAAAATGATGATGGTAACATATATACAAAGGTGCTTGATACAATTGATGCATGGAATGTTACAAGAGCTGTAAGAGCCCCCAGTAAAATGATTGTAAAAAAGGCACAAGGCAGACTACCAGTAAAAAATGGCAGCCTAGACAAAAACTGTATAAAACAAAAAATGGGGGAACAGCAATACAGAGAAAAAACCTGGAGCCGTGCCTCTCTGAAGAGAGAGAAGAAAGCTGGACACCTGCACCTACCAACTCAGTAAGCCATTTCACTTCTAGTTCTTCACCCGCACTCGTATATACCGTAGGTACTCATGTGTAAGCCGAGTTTTTCAGCACAGTTTTATGCTGAAAAGCCCCCCTCGGTTTGTACTCTAGTGAGGGCCCCCCCCTTTCCTGTTCTCCAGTGCAGTGTGGGTGTTCTCCGGTCTCTCCCCTCAACTGCGGGTCCCTGCAGTCTCTGTGGGTGGTCCGATGACTGCTGATAATCACAGATCTTCTTTTCTCCGGCACACTGGCAACAACTTCTGTGTTGTCCGTGTGATACTGGGCAAGAACCTGCCCACTTCTGTGTGCTGGTACCTGGGGAGCATGCATCCTTGTCAGATGACTGTCGGATGCAGCCCCTCTTCTTCTCCGGCTCTTCTCCAGGGCTGTAATTAATGACGTAGTCTTTACAGTTGTACCCATGCTTGGTTACACCCCCTTCCTCTGCCCAAGCATTGCTGAATACAAGTACTGGTATATCTCTGGTCTTGGATATACAGTATGTCTATTTGCAGTACTTATCTGCTATTTTTTATTTTCTTATTAACCCCAGCCTAGCTGCACCCAGTGTTGACTATGCTTGCATAGAGCAGCCTGTGATAGGGCTCACAATATACACACTGCGTTGTGTACGCACGGTTATTGCATGTGTTGTGTTAGCACTTCCCATACATAGGCGGTAATGCTGGGTATGCAGTAACGCAGCGCATTCAGTAACACAGGGCATACACAATGCAGCGTGTGTATTAGGGCTCATAACACAGCTGCTCTATGCAAACAGTCATGTCATCACATTCTGGAATATCATTAGCCTGCGTTAGGCCTCAAACTATACAAGGTGTGTTGTGTACATGCGGTAAGGCAGCATATGTAGTAATGCAGTACATGCAGTAACAGCGTGTATAGTTATTGTTGATGCCATATTGTTTTTGTTTACCCTCTTTACCATTTACAGAGTAGTTTACTGTTTTTCTTTGAAATAAATATTCAAAAACATTTAACCTACTGATGCCTCAATTGATATCTATTTTTATTTTGAAATTTACCAGTAGCTGCTGCATTTCCCACCCTAGGCTTATACTCGAGTTAATAAGTTTTCCCAATTGTGGTAAAATTAGGTGTCTTTGCTTATATTCTGGTTGGTTGATACTCGAGTATATACAGTAAATGTTTTAGCAACTATATTTATTTATTTAGTAAAACATAATAAAGGAGTAGCTTTATTAGAGCTATTCCACACCTGAGAGTGAGTCAAGGGCTACAGATTTAAAAACCATCACCATTATCACTATTTATTTTACAATAAATTATTTAATCTACACTTATCATGTAAACATGCTAACCCATTTGCTTTTTTTTTTAATAAATCATACTTTTCTTTAGAAGTCTGTCCCCTAAATATCTCAGAAATACTCATTAATGACAAGTAAGTGCAATTAGAGGCTCCCAGGATCCACAGATGAACAAAGGCAGTATACATTGTTTTTCAATAATAGAACTCAAAAGAAAAACAAACAAACAGTAGAGGATCAATGAAAGTAGGAAGACTGAGTAACATGAATTGACAAGACTGCAGCAGTGGACTCAAACATAACATTTGTGAGGAGGTGAAGGAATGAACAGTATTTCCTTCTACTCTGTGCAGGGTCAGAGTCAGCACCAACTCGATGGCAGCCAACCTATGAAAATAGTGTGACTATCTTGGTGCCATCACTGAAAAATACAGAGAGCATAACACACACACACACACACACACACACACACACACACACACTACGCAGAGGAAAAGCTAACAGGGACTATTTTTTAGTAACAGGGATAATGTTACATAATCCCATCGCTTTTCTTCACTTATTAAAATTTTCCATATTGTGCTTATGCTACTATTTTAATGAAGAGTGAAACCTTTAACCCCCAAACATTCTTATTCTAAATTATGTTTTGAATTTATGATTACAGTGAGAGTTGTAATTACTCAGGAGACCTCCAGCCAGGCACACCATCCAAGCTTCTCATTTGTTTCTCATTTTCCAGCCTCTTCCCCGCTCCTCCCTCCTCTGAGCCCCTGCTCCTCTAGCCGGCCACCCCAGTTCAGACGTACTTCACTCATGTTATTCGCTGACGCTTTTGTCCACAGTCAGCACACAGAGCTCTCTGTTTTATTTGCCTAACTCTTTCAGCCTCTTCCACAAAACCGCCGAGCTCTTCCTGCCCACCATCCTCTTACCCTTCCAAACACCTGTTCTTGGGTATTTCAAAGTGCTTAGAGTCCTAATGATAATCCTGTCACATGCTTTCTTCATGTGTGATATTCTTAATGTCACCCACAGCTCATCGGTCTTTTTGTCACTAGTGTTTAATGTGTCACATCTGTTGAGATGGTCATGCAATTCTGGCGACATAGACTGAAGGCCTGATTTTGCTTTTTCTAGCTTTGCTTCAATTTTTTTCAACTCCAACCTGAACTTCCATGTGAGAAATTGATGGTCTGTTCCACAGTTGGGCCTTAGCCTGTTTTGGCTGTTTATATGGAGCGTCTCCTTAGTCCCTTCCTGTACATATAGTCAATTTGATTCCTTTGTATTCTGTCTGTCAAGGTTCCATGTAAACACTTGTATGTTAAGTTGTGGAAAGAGGTGTTTGCAATGAAGAAGTTATTGATCATATAAATTCTATCATCTGATCTTCACCTTTGTTTCTAGCATCAAAGCCATGTTTCCCAACTACAATTCCTTTCTTTTTGTTTCCAAACATGGCATTCCATTTGCCAATTATTATTATTATTTTTATAGTCTAAAGTGTCTAAATCATTTATTTGAAGGTACATTGACTACAACCCTACCTTATTGGATGTTTAAAAAGGTGTATCTGTTCCAGAAAAGATTGAAGATGGCGAAGCTTCTCCTCTTCTGTGCGCTGATGTAATTTTCAGACCTGGAAATAGATCTTCACCAGAGCAAATGATTGTGTTCTCAAAAAAGCAACAACATTGAGATTTTACAGATGAAGCTATTCTGTTGATTGTGGAGACACAAATACAGATGCTTGGTCCTCTTTATGAATCAGCCCGGAAGTTACTGATTCCCAGGAGAAATAGTTCTCAGTTTCCTTAGAAAGAAAACTGCTTAAATGATGAAAACGTTTTAAAGTACACATATCTCTTGACTCCTTTCGGAGACCTTCCCTGTGATTTGTGATACTGACAACCGGATTCCGGTGCTCATTCCAGCAAGGTATCTCCCCATAATCATTGATGGATGCCCAGGAAAAGCTTGCCCTTGGACCTCATATTCATTTTTTAAGCAAAAATTCTTATTTTCTGATTTTAACTTCAGAAACTACATTAGACATTTTTTTCTTTTTTTTTTCTAATCATTTTATTAGGGGCGCATACATCACAATCCGTACACACATCAATTGTGTAAAGTGCATTTGTACATTCATCGGCCTCATCATTCTCAAAACATTTCCTCTCCACTTAAGCCCCCGGCATTTGGTCCTCATTTTCCCCTCCCTGCCTGCTCCCCACTCCCTCATGAGCCCTTGATACTTTATAAATTATTATTTTGTCATATCTTGCCCTGTCTGACGTCTCCCTTCACCCACTTCCATCCTTTACAGAGAAGACAAGACATTTCCGAAGGCCATCTTCGGGGTCTTTTGGGATTCTTGCTGACCGAGTAACATTTTTAGTTGAGAAAAGTGTTTCTTAGTTTTGCTCGCACATTTCGAGGAAGAGAAAGTGGGCTCTGACTGTCCAGATGTAGGTGTTCTGAGTATCAAGGCAGGGCTCTTGCCCTGGGAACTAGACGTCTTATGATTGCGGCTTAGAGAACTCAGAGCCCTCCTCTCCGGCATC